TCGCACAGGTAAATTCTCCGAACATATCGAGATTCAAACTTTGAGTTTTCAGGATTACTCTTCGTGCAATCTAATGCACAGTCGACGATCTATCTCACATCACAATCCTGCTGCCATCAGCAATTATCCATTATTGTTCGGAAACATTATGTTTAGTAGTCATGTCATTATATCACAACACAAAGGATTCATTTTTGAATGAGCTCGGATTGAGCAGTAATGGTGCAGTTGGTTGTCAACCTCACCAGGAGGCTGATGATGATAGAACACTGTCAAGTAATTTATAATTTTACTCTTAATGCACACTACTAGATGCACAAATGAAAACCAGGTTTCAAGATGGGATAGGCGGTTAACTGGAGATTACCATATGAAACAGAGAAAACGGAATGCTATATGTTGGTCGTGAGGTTCGCACACACGATCTCCGGAGTAACATGATCGTGCGCAACACCTCAACTACCGCCACTAAAGGTTTAGCACTGGTGGGAGTCGAACCCGAGCCGTTTAGGACAAGTGCTTTGAACTGAACCCTAAGCCTGTTCGGCCACACTTCTGTGGAAAAAAAATATAATCAACAGGTGAATAATGTGTAGTATGCTCACCACAGAAGCAGTGAAGACCTAGTCATATCCATCGCATGATTTGACCGACCAAAATGAAATCACTGAACTATTTATCTACCTGACTACTGGAATTCAAACACGAGTTGAGACAACTTCCAAGTAGCCTGGTCAATGTGGGCAATCCCATAGAAATACTTTATTGAACCTGGGCAAGATGGGATAAGGAAATATTTACTTGATCGATTCTGATTACGAACATCGAGGCCCTATATGAAAAACGTTTGTTCTCATTAGATTTGTCACTTGCATTACTCTCGCAGTCACTTAACCTGTCTCATCAAAGAGACGGCCAAAAGGATGTTTGAATCAAGTTATTGGAGAAAAATTGCATCCACTGGTTATGTTAACCCGAACCCCCAAATAAAAGCTGACCTTAGTGCACAAAGAAGAAGAGACGAACGAGCCGAAAACTGGTCATCGGCTCATCTGGAATATCACTGCTGTCTTGCAGGCGGCGCTTGGTTACGCAAAGGCCAGAATGCACCTTCGAGCAAGGCCTACTCTGAATTGGCAGTCTGAGTAGTCCTCGATGTCCGTTCAAACTATCCATGTTTAATGTATTTACTCTGACGCTTGTAGGACAACAGTCGAGTTCCTCATCTCGTACGCTCAAGACCCTAGCAATTGATGTGTGCTGCATCCGAAAAATTCGTATTCAAGACTCCAGCTCCATTATCTGATTGACGTCCCTATCAAACCAATCTGCGTAGTTCCACCGTATCAAGACCACGTTTTTGGTCAGCCCGTGTTTTCTTTCACGTTTTCCACACGCTTGCTCACGCTTCCACATATTCTCTTTCGGCTCGTAAGTTTCGTGAAGTGTCTCATTCTGTTTTCGAACGAATGCTTGTTTGCTAATATAGACTTATTATCTCGGGGTTCCCATAAGACCGAGCCTAATGAGCGTTCAAGGTATAAAGAACTTGCACTTGGCTTTAGTTGTTCTAGTGTAGAACACATATGAGAGGGGTACAATTATTTGATACATTCATTCATTGAGAGTTATCTCCGGAGTATGGTTTTGTCAAAGGATTACAAACTACACCGATATCGTGGAACATAGAACTGAGGTGTACACGATGGAAACGATTGTGAATACGCCGAAAATGGACTAATTTATACATAAATTTCATTATAAATAGTATATGATTGACTAGAAAAAATTTCCCCGGAAGCTCACGACCGGTTTCACGCATCTTGCCGCTCGTCAGGCATGCTACTCTAGGTTTTACTATTCGTGATGTGATCTCCAAAACAGCAACACCAGCCGCGATCAAGCTCCCGAGGTACTCAAAGCTCTCAACCACTTCTAGCTTACCACCACTGAGGGTGAGTGCAGACACAGGTTCCTGCCAGTCTTGAACAAACACTTTTCCCTTGGATGGTGCAAATCACATGCCATACCTCTATTGTCAAGTGGTTCAAATTGCGTTGGACTGCCTGTGTATTGTCACCCAGCAAGGCGATGTCATCGGTACATTTTAAGCCACGAACGTTGTTCCCTGGGAGGAGTTCGACTCCACCGTTTGCTAGACCAGACAAAGCATTCTGTAGAACATCCTCTATGACAAATTTGAAAAGAAATGGGGATATAGGGCAGCTTTGCCGAACTCCACTCTAGACGCCGAAGGGTTGCGAAAATTAGCCATAAACCCTAACCCGACCTGAGGTATGACGATACAACTCTTTCGGGATCGACACATACTTCTCAAGTACTCCATTTCTCAACAAACAGTTCCATAGTGCGGTTCTATCCACAAAGTCGAAGGCCGCGCGGATGTCTAAGAAAACAATGATCTTTGGTCTTTGATAGTCATGACGGTGCTCCGGCAGTTGTTGGAGGGTGAAGATTTAATCGATACATCCACGACCGCCTAGAAACCCGGCCTGCTCCTAGCGGGTCTGCTCCTCACGCATAGTGTACAATCGGCGGAGAATGACGGACGCCAACAGCTTTGACGCTGTTTGGATAAGGCTTATGCCACTATGGTTGATGCAGTCATTGCGTGAGCCCGTTTTAAAGATGAGGACGACAATCGATTTCCCCACTCCTCACAAGAGGAGGACCTGCTCAGTGTGCCAGACTCTGGAAAACTGAGTCACCAATTCTCTAACGAGCTTTCTTCCATCACCTTTAAACAGAGCTGGAGTAAAGGCCCTCGGAGCCCGGCACTTTGCGACGTCCCAAGGCTTGGATCTCCTTACGGATTTCCGCCTCAGAAGATGGATTTATTGAGACAGACCATGGGACGTTTGCCGGAGTCACTGTATGAGAAGTTATTGCTGGTGGCAGGTTAAATTATGCCTAAAAGTGCTCTGCCCAGCGTGCAAGACGTCGCTGTTGATTATGAACGGGCGAGCCGTCAGCCTTGTAGATCGTTCCGCTCACACCCAAGGCTTTCCTACCGGTACCAGGAGTGAGATGGAACAGATTACGGGAGTTTCCCATGGCGATAGCACGTTCCACCTCTGACATGTGTTGAGTCCACCAGATCTCGCGGTGTCGGCTTGGGCTTGTGTTAAGTTCACGTCTCGTTAGGAGTCGTATTTATTATGCTCGCTGCCGATCAGAATTGACCGACGTGTCCCAAGAAGTCGTAGAGACTCCACAGATATCCAGGGTGTCACGGCT